GGATGTGTCCCTGTGTGTCACATGCTTAGAGATAGAGGAGGTGCCCGGCTCTTTTTTAAACAACCAGATCCCATGTTAACTCGTAGAGTGAGAACTCTTGCATTTACTGCAAGAACAGGCCTGCCTCCAGTGTTGGAGGTCACATTTCAATGTGAGATCTGGAGGCAACATAACATCCAGACTCTGTGTCCTTTAATTTTATTTTCGCTTCCCTTTTGCACATCATTGTGGTATTGTACACATAGCTGTGTATTTTGCTCCTTCCATCTCTCCAAGCATGGATGCCACCTCCTTACAGTCCTGGAGATCACTAAGCTGGTGCTTCCTGGAATCCGTATTCCTCGTGAGATACACGAACCTGCCTAGTCTTGAACACCACTTCACCTTGGAACTGCGTTTGGAAGTTGCTGAGTGGGCGGATACCTTTATCAGCCATTGTCTAATTTACTGATATTTATTATTAAGTTAGATATTTTAAAATCTCCTTGAATTCTTCCTGTGGGGATTGTTCTTTCCCTTCCTCACCTCGTCTACGTACTTGGGATTTTTACTTTCTAGCAAGGTATGGATGGAGATAAATGTCATCTAACTTAATAATACAGGGAACACAACTTGAAACAACAGGGAATGGTGTTTTACTCAACAAATTGGGAAATATTTTAAGGTTTGATTATCAGTGTTGGCCAGCGTGTGCAGAGACAGGCACTGGCAAAGCAGCTTGGTGCTGTGGTCGGATGCATAGATTGAGGCCAGCCTGAGGCTGGCACTGGCTCAGCAGCGCAGCAGCGGCCTCGGCAGCACTCAGCCCTCCTCACGCCTGCCCCATCTGCTAACTGGGGAGGGTCATGGTGCAGCAGCCATGTCCACAGGGTTGCTGTGCATGAATGGTTGTTAAGTGTATGACCACAGCAACACACAGCCAGTGCTAAGTGCTTTTCTAGTAGATGAGAACATAATACTCATGTTCTGTCAGTTGGAATGCAAAATATGTTCTTCTGGGAGGATATTTAGGTCTTAAAATTTTAAGTATGTATGCTTTTGGATTCTTCCATTTTCTTTCTAGATTATGTATATTACAGATATATTTCCAGCTATATAAAAATTGAATGGAAGAAAATATATGATCATATATTCATATACTGAACACAGTGTAACAAACCAGCTGAATTCAGTGGTGCACATGCCTACACACACACATGCACGCACCTGCCCACACGGATGCACCCGCCCACGCAGGCATATGGAAAGATCTGCAGATATGTTTGGTGAAGAGAGTGAGTTATAGAAGAAGTTGCATCTTGATTCTGCTTTACTTTTAAAAATCAGTATATTAGTATACATACTCATTTTATATGTAACTGCATATCTAGGAGTCTAAACCTTTACATATAAACATCTCAATAGTGGTTATCTGTAGGGCATAGGACTGGAACAGAAACAGGGACTTTCCCTTTTGACTGTGATGTTTGCCTTGTTCATACTAAGAATGTGCTCATGTTGGTCATACTGTTCGCTTCTAAGTTTTTATAAAAAGACAGCAGTGGACTGATTGACTCCATGTCTTGGGATCAGAGGCAGGAGAAGGCCAGGGAGGGACAGGCACTTAGGTCGGCAGGGGCTGTGCTCCGGGTCTGAGTCCCGCTGAGCCCCACCATTCACCTGGGTAACGAAGTCAACCTTTCCATGCCCAGGTTTTCTCATCTGAAATTGGGGAATAATAGCCATAGGCTTGTGGTGAATTTTAGGTGAGTCCCTATGCCTGAAGGACTCAGAACCATTCTGGCACATGGAGAGTGCCAGTGAGGCATTGGTTTACCATCTGGAGAGGGAGGCGTCAGCACCACCACGTCAGAAGTTAAGGGGTGACCCCAGACACTGTGTCTGTGGGGAGGTGGGGCTGTGAGCCTCCTGTGTGCTGGGAGCTCCCACGTTTCTGTGCCTGTGTGTCGGGAGCTCCCACGCTTCTGTGCACACCTGTATGCTGGGAGCTCCCATGCTTCTGTGCCCACCTGTGTGTCCACTTGTGTGTCAGGACCTCCTGCGCTTCTGTGCCCACCTGATGTCAGCAGCTCATGTGCTTCTGTGCCCACCTGTGTGTCGGGAGCCCCCGCGCTTCTGCGCCAGCCTCTGAGTCGGGACCTCCCGTGCTTCTGCGCCTGCCTCTGAGTCCGGAGCCCCTATGCTTTTGTGCCCACTGGTGTCGGGAGCTCCCATGCTTCTGTGCCCACCTGTGTGCCTGTGTCTTGCACATCTGCAAGGAAAATTACCCAGGGCCATGTGGTTTCTCTGACTAGCAAGGGAATATAAATGTACAGTGGCAGGTTAAGTTAGTACAAGGTTAATGTCACTAATTTACATTGTAAGTGAACGTATTCAGCCTCCTGTAACTGTCATTGTATAATTGAAAATTTCCTATAGCAAACACAATTTGTAATTTTAAAGTATTTAGGTATCAAGTCTTATTTCTCATAAACTGTGTTTAAACATAGAAAAGAGGATCTTGGCCAGGTGCAGTGGCTCATGCCTGTAATCCCAGCACATTGGGAGGCTGAGATGGACAGATCACTTGAGGTCCAGAGTTCGAGGTCAGCCTGGCCTATATAGTGAAACCCTGTGTCTACTAATGAGAGCAAAAAAATTAACTGGCTGTGGTGGCACACACCTGTAGTCCCAGTTATTTGAGAGGCTGAGGCATGAGACTGGCTTGAACCCGGAGGCAGAGGTTGCAGTGAGCCAAGATCACACCACTGCACTGCAGCCTAGATGACAGAGTGAAACTGTTTCTCAAAAGAAAAAGAAAAATAAGGAAAGATGGATTTTGTAACTGAGGCAACAGTACATATGTGATTGGGTCCTAACACAACTTTTTCCTCCTGGCCTGTTGTTCACAGATCATGGCAGGTCAGTGTTCTGAATCTTGGCTGCCCAGCACTTTGCTTTCATGTGGCTTTTTAAAACAATATGTATACCTTAAATTTGTATTACTAAGACAATGCATTCGGGCTCTCGTTACAAAGTACCACACACTGGGTGGCTTTAACAACAGACACTTGTCTCAGTTCTGGAGGCTAGAGTCAGAGACTGAGGTGTCGCAGAGCTGGTCGTCCAGAGATGCTGAGGGAACCTGCCCGGGCCTGCCCCGGCCTCTGGTGGTGTTCTGCTCAGTGATCCTTGATGGGTGCCTGTCATTCCCATCTCTTCCTCCATCGTCACGTGACCTTCTCCCTGTGCCTGTGCCTCTCTCCTCTTCTTAAAAGGACAGAATAATTTGATTTAGAGTCAGTTCTAACCCAGCATGACCTCATCTTGATCCTACAGATGGTCCTGGCTTAAGGTGGTTCGACTAGCAGTTTTTCACCTTTACAATGGGTTTATCAGGTCGTAACCCTGTTGTAAGTCCAGGGACATCTGTTGCTGCAAAGGCCCTGCTTCCAAATAAGGTCACAGGTATGAGGGGTGATCTTTTGCAGGGACACAGTTCAACCCACAACAGATGCTGAAGCTCACAGTTCCTGAATTCCACACTGAATCTTTGTAGAGAACTCTTGTGGGGAGAGGCAATGGTGGGGGAACCACTGAGAACACGTTGAAGTTTTGATTTGTTTGGGTTTTCTGGGCAGTAAAAGGCCAGGATAATAATTTGAAGCCTGGTGATTTGAGCTTATCCTATCCAGGTGGTTCCATGTGGGTTTTCTTATTTGGGCAGACTTATATCTGGTTGGCTCTATCCTTTTTGACTCTTAGATCTAGACTAATTCTGTTTCCTGAGTCTTTTATGCCTTTTTCAACATATTAGTTACTCATTCAAATGAGATCTCTTTTTGCAAATTTTGACTTTTATCTTGCCCCATTTATGTCTTCAGTTTCATTATAAACGATAATATTTTAAAGTTAAACAGAAAACTTATAGTCCAACTTCTAGGTCTGAAGTGCATTAAAGATTTGTATATGGAAAATTACAGAAACAAATGTGATGTATGCCTAAATTGTGGTGACTCCTTAGTTAACCACTGAAGAATTGTTAGTTTTCAGGGATATAATCCATGATCTTAGAGATATTTTAACTAACTTATTCACAAATTCAGTCAGCAGATATGTGTTGTTAGATCTTTTCCAGGGCTGGGACGCAGCAGTGAACAAAACAAATTCTGGCTGCTCTTGGGAGAGTTAGGGTCTGAGGGTGGAGGCTGCACAGGTAGTCAGAGGTGTGTGCTGTGAGGTCGGTGCACCGGGTCGGGGGTGTTTTCTGAGGGGATGAGAAGACCCAAATTTGAGCCAAACTCAGGACAGAGGGAGGGAGAAAGCCGTGCGGACGTCAGCTGGAGGAACATCTTGTGTAGTGGCAGGAGCGTGTTCGGGTGTCTGGCAGAGGAGGTCGGGGGGGCCACAGTGTGGTGAGCATGAGTGCAGTGGTCTTCTGAAAATGGGCGTATGTAGACCCCTCCTCTCCAGACCCACAATGCAGTTTACAGCTTGCCTGCCACCCAAATAATCTTCCTTAGAACTTGGCAGCCAGAATGGCACAGTGTAAATCTTAATTTAGATTCTTATATATAAAATTGGGCATACGCCTAGACAGGCTGCATCTGAATTGAGGCTGGACCGTCAGGATCTCCATCATTTCTGTTCAGGGGTTTTGTCTGTATTCTTGGAGGGGATGCACACCCATCCAGACATTTGTGAAACTGGAGGCACAGATCGTGCAGTGAGCAGAAGCTGGGAGGAGAGAGAACCAGTTTGTGCAGGGTTTGCGTAGAGGGGGCGGGAGAGGAGCTGCCTTTGTAGTTCTCGGGTGCTCTTGAGATTCCCCAGGAATGCAGAGCTGGAAGCAGTAGACTGGCCGCCAGCTGTTGTAAACAGAACGAGCACCCCCAATGTCCACGTGGCGACCAGCTCTGTTCCCAGGGGTGTCCAGACTGCTGCATGTGTGCTGACTGCACGTCTGTGGTTGTGATGGCTTATCTGCTCCCACATATCCAACTTGAAAACTGCTGTTACAGGCCCACAGATGACAGTAACCAGCCACCAGGCCGGGGCGTCCTCTCCATGCATGGGCTGACCTACGGGGTCATTCGTGTGGACTCGGAAGAGAAGCTCTCGGTGCTCACCGTGCAGGATGTCGGCCTCGTGATGCCTGGAGGTGAGTGTGGGTCTCGAGCTGCCCGGACTAACCTTTTGTTAGATGCTTTTCTAACACACGTCACCAGAACACGTGTTCAACATTCCTGTGTGCACACTTTTGGGTGAGAGCCTCACTCCAGGCTTCTGAAGTCCTTGTTGGGCTTCAGACGTTTGAGGCAATGTTCACTCTCCTGGTAAAGGAAAACACCAGATGATCAAGAAGATGATGAAGGGTACCCTTGCACACTGGGACCTCAGGCTCATCTTCCCTGGAAGGCTTTGTGGCCAACACAGGGTCCACACTGGTGCCTGGGCAGCTTCTCCTCTGCCCCAGAGGATGTACCTGTCCATCACCCTAAGGCACCAGCCAGAGTGGGAACAGCCAAGCTCGGGTTCCCTGAAGGCAGACACTTGTGAAAACTGAGGAATATGTCTGTGTGACCATGAAGCTTGTTTTCAGCAGAGAGCCCTTTTTCCAAGTCTCAGAAGCCTTTCCACAGATGTGTGAGGAAGCGCCTGGCTGCAGAGCCCACCATGTTTCCCAACCTGCCCCACTAGGAACACCCAGCCACCTCCCAGGAGCCACCTTACCATTCTTAGGGTTTACATACCTGGCTTTCAAGTCATGAGACCGCAGGCAGCATCAGCCCCTGGCTGTCTGGCCCCCGAAAACGAACCCGACTCTTTTTGCGGCTGGGGCCCCTCCAGAGCCTTTGTCTCCTGCTGAGCTCCCCAGGCACAGGGTGTGGACTCAAGCCCAGCAGGGTAGCCAGGCCCGTTCGAGCAGTGCTGCCACCTTCAGCAGCACGTGCAGGGCACCAGGTCAGGTGGGTCTCAGCAGGGACCCCTGCCCTGTGGAGTCTCACAGAGGCAGACCCCTCATGCCCTTCATGGTGAGCTGTGCTGGGGCCAGGCATTCCAGAAGCCATCTTGCCTTTCTGTTTGCCCTGTTTGGCATTAAAGAAATAAAGGCAGCCCTTGGCTTTCCTCCTCCTCACTAACTCCCCAATTCTCCGCAGACGCCCTCCAGCGTCCCCGCTGCTCTGCCTCTGCTTCCGGCCCTACAGCCCTTGTGTCCAGCCCACTGCCTGCTTCCCGGCGGTGGCCAGGCCCCCTGGCTCCATTTCTTCCTTTAATATCTAGTTTTCAAATAGAGCTGCATGGTGAAATCTTCAAAAGGTTCTGAAGAACACGATGAAAATGCAACTTTCTGACCATGAGAGCAACTGCGAGCTTCCCAGGCTCCCTCTCGAATGCACCCGGGGCTGTGGAAACAGAAGCACGCACCCCACGTGTGTGTCTCTCACATAATGATGGAGTACTGCGAAGCGTGCATCCCACGTGTGTGTCTCTGCCCTGGGTTTGGAGGGTTTTCTGACAGAATGATAGAGTACTGTGTACATGTGCATGTTTTATATCTCAAAGTCCCTTTGTGAGCGCGCAGCGAGCTCCATGCTGTTCTCCAGGCCGCATAGTGCTGTGCTGTGGGAGCACAGAGTTTATTTGAGCCTCCCCTGTTTGGGTGATTTTTCCTCTGTTGCTGCTACAGTGAGTGACCCCCTCATGTCTAATGGAAACAGTTCTAGAAGTGGGAGTTCTGTTTGAAAGAAAACTACTAATGTAGTTGTTACCTGAAGGCTGTGAGGATTTACACCCTGCCGAACGGTAAACAACAGCACTTCTTTCTTTTTCTACCCACTTGCCCACTGTATCACCTGAATTTTATTTTTACCTGATGGGTGAAGAATGTTTCAGTGTAATTTTCATGTGAGTTTTTCTTCCTGTGAGTAACTTTTCTTATGTTTCGAACACTGTTTTACTTCTTAGACACCTGTACTCCAGCCCACTGGGTGCCGGCTGTTTGAGGCTCTTTCTAAACAGCTCGTCTGTCACTCAGTATGCACTCCACCCCTCTGAAATGTGAGGCTCTCGGTTCCTAATCAGATCTGTGGGTGGCTTGCAGTGAGGGTACGTAGTATGCTGACATTGTACAAAGCATCAAAGTGCTCATTGCACAGACCAGTGAGAATTTATCATCATGGAACCGTGTGCTGAAGCACTTGAACGATGTTCTCTGAAGGGCTCACCTTGTGGGGAGTATGAAATCAAAGATGAAGATTTCCATAAGATGTTAGAGGCTCGATTTGCAGAGTTCAGGCTGCACCCCCATTGCTGATGTACGTGTGGCAGGGAGCCCTGATGCTGGTTCTGAAGGACCTCCCCATATCTAGATGGCAGATGAGGTTATAACCCTAAATGCAACTTGCACATTAACATTAGACAATTGAAAATAGGTATTGATGTCTCAACTGTGAAATTTGACATTTTGCCACAACATGAACATCATGACTCTTTAGGGAAATGAGTTCCTGGCTGATGGCCATCCTTGCAGATTTGCTGCAGCCCCTATTTCTGTTCGTGGGTAACCCCATTCATATTCCCATCTTCCTCCTCTTCGTCCTCCCCACCCTGCCCCCTTTCACACTGTGTGTGCTTTTCTGTTTGCTTTTAGCCATAATGTGTTCAGTGAAGCCAGACGGGATTCCTCAGCTGTGTAGAACAGATGAGATCGGGGAGCTGTGTGTGTGTGCAGTTGCGACAGGGACGTCCTACTATGGCCTCTCTGGCATGACCAAGAATACCTTTGAGGTAGGTTGAGGAGAGTCCTGCCCTGAGCACTGCCCGTGGCTCCGTCTCCACATAACCCTTGCCAGGTGTGCGGTGATAGACATGAAATGTAGGCTCGATTTTCAGCAAGACGTGTTTGTATTAAAATGATTGCACTTTACCACCTTTTATCGCTTTCGATAAATTTGTTTTATGAGCATTGTTCTGACCTTATAATCAGTGTTTAAAAAAGTAAGCATGATTTCTTTAAAAGGGTCCTTTTTGTTACTTTTCTCACTTTTACTATGAAAACTGGATTGTGAGGGAACATGGATTTGTGTGCGTGAAGGGCCTCACCTGGGGCAGCCATCTGGAGCCCCTTGACGGCCTCTCGGCCTGGGCTAGACGTGGCCAGGTATGAACCCTCACCTAGGGGCAGCCACCTGGAGCCCCTTTACGGCCCCTCAGCCTGGGCTGGATGCGGCCAGGTACAAACCTGTGAGAACTTGGGCAGACATGTATGTAACAATCTCAGTGGCACAAGCAAGTGTGTATGTGGTGTACACAGATGCATGTGTAATGTGCATGTGTGGTGTGCACGTGTGTGTAATTGTGTGTGGGCATGTGCAGATACATGTGTAATGTGCATGTGTGGGGTGTACAGACAGATGTGTATGTAATGTGTGCATGTGGAGTGTGTATGGTGTATGGTGTGCACAGATGTCTAATGTGCTCACGTGGGGTGCACAGATGTGTGTAATGTGAGCATGCAGGGTATGTGGTGTGCACAGATGTGTAATGTGCGCATGGGGGTGTGGTGTACATGTGTGTGTAATGTGCACATGTGGGGTGTGGGGTGCACAGATGTGTGTAATGTGCGCATGTGGGGTGTGGTGCACACAGGTGTGTGTAATGTGTGTGTGTACACTTGTGCGTGTGTGGGGTGTACACAAATGTGTAATGTGTGTGATATACACAGATGTGTGTGTAATTGCATGTGTGGGGTGTGTACGGGTGCATGGGTAATGTGCATGTGGGGCGTGTACATAGATATGTGTGTAATGTGTGTGGAATACACAGATGTCTGTGTAATGTGTGTGGGGTGTGTACACAGATGCATGGGTAATGTGCATGTGTGGGATGTGGACAGATGTCTGTGTAACATGCATGTGTGGGACGTGTTCACAGATGCGTGTGTAATGTGCATGTGGGGTGTGTGCACAGATGCATGGGTAATGTTCATGTGTAGGACATGTGCACAGATGCATGGGTAGTGTGAGGGGTGGTGTGCACAGATGCGTGTGTAATGTGCGTGTATGGGGCGTGTGCACAGATGTGTGTGTAATGAGCGTGTGAGTGTGTGCACAGAGGCGGGTGTGATGTGCATGTATGGCACCTGTGTGTTGTACACAGATGTGTGTGTGTGTGTATGGGAAGTGCACTGTGTGTAAGGTGTATGTATGGAAAGTGTGTACACAGACACGTGTAATGTGTGCGGGGGCCTGTATGCAGTTGCATATGTAATGTGCATATATGGGGAGTGCACTGTTGTGTGTATAACGTGCATGTATAGAGCATGTGTGGGGTGTGTGCACAGATTGTGATGTGTGGGGGGGTGTGCACATATGCACATGTAATGTGTGGGGAGGGTCGTGTATGCAGATGTGTAATGTGTGTGTATGGGGAGTGTGTGCTGATGTGTGTATGTGTGTGGGGCGTGTGGTGTGCATATGTGAGTGTAATGTGCATGTATGAGACGTGTGGTTTTCACAGATGTGTAATGTGCGTTTGTGGCACGTGTGGTGTAGACAGATGAATGTGTAATGTTACTTTTTTGGGGCGTGTGTGATGTAGACAGATGTGTAATGTGCGTGTGGGGTGTGTGGTGTAGACAGATGCGTGTAATGTGTGGGGGGTGTGTGTGTGTGGTGTAGACAGATGCGTGTGTAATGTGAATGTGTGGGCCATGTGCACAGGTGCATGTATGTGCTGTGGACAGATGCGTGTAATGTGTGTTTGTGTGTCGTGTGGACAGATGTGTGTGTAATGTGCGTGTGTGGGAAGTGTGCACAGATGTCCTGCATAGTGTGCATATATGGGATGTGTGCACAGATGTGTGTGTAATGTGCATGTGGGGGGTGTGTAGACAGATGCATGTGTAATGTGCGTGTGCACAGATTCATGTGTTGTGCATGTGTATGGTGTGGACAGATGTGTGTGTAATGTGCATGTATGGGGAGTGCACAGATTGTGTAACGTGAGGGATGTGTGCACAGATGAGTATGTAATGTGCATTTGTGGGGCGTGTGCACGGATGCATGTGTGATGTGTGCGTGTGGGGCGTGTGCATGGATGCGTGTGTGATGTGTTCATGGAGCATGTGCACAGATGCATGTGTGTACACATGGGGCATGTGCACGAATACATGTGTGATGTGCGTGTGGGGCGTGTGCATGGATGTGTGTGTGGTGTGTGTGGGGCGTGTGCACAGATGTGTGTGTGATATGCATGTATGGGGAGTGCACAGATTGTGTAACGTGAGGGATGTGTGCACAGATGAGTGTGTAATGTGCATTTGTGGGGCGTGTGCTACGGATACATGTGTGATGTGCATGTGGGGCATGTGCACGGATGCATGTGTAATGTGTGTGTGTGAGGCGTGTTCACGGATGCATGTGTGATGTGTGCGTGTGGGACGTGTTCACGGATGCATGTGTGATGTGCATATAGGCATGTGCACAGATGCACGTGTGTACATATAGGGTGTGTGCACAGATGTGTGTGATGTGCATATATGGGGTGCGTGCACAGATGTGCTGTGTAATGAGCAGAGACATTAAGGGGTCAGAAATGTGGGCCTGCATGTTCAGTGCTGCAACTCAGAACTTTTACTTTTTTACCAAGTAGGTCACGGCTTTAGAAGTAGCACAACACTTAAGCTGTATGTAAGAAAACATAAGTTGTTTGGGGATATGTTTCCTAAACGTTTAGAACTTTTTGTTGTTGTTGAGACAGGGTCTTGCTCCATCACTCAGGCTGGAGGGCTGTGGCACGATCACAGCTCACTGCAGGTTCAAGCTCCTGGGCTCAAGCCATCTTCCTGCCTCAGCGCTGAGTAACTGGGACTGTAGGCATGTGCCACTACACTTGAATAATTTTTTAAAATTTGTTTTGTACATATGGAGTCTCATGCTGTTGCCCAGGCTGATCTCAAACTCCTGGCCTCAAGCAATCCTCCCATCTTAGCCTCCCAAAGTGTTGGGATTACAGGCGTGAACCACTGTTCCTAGCCTAAATGTTTAGAACTTTGGATGTGGCTGAACAGATGTTACAGTGCCTGTCCACGATGGCTTTCTTGAATGTGAATTCAACTTCCTAAAATATCCCTTGAAACTGGAGCTAGAAACAAATCTAAATAAAAACCACATCTCTGTTCTATGTGAGTTATCTGCAAGGGTGTAGGAAAAGAGGTTTAGAGCTTGAAGTCATTGATTTCCTTCCTTAACATTTTTCTTTTCAGCCTACTTTGAACAAGGGAAAATAACATTTTATGTATGAACAGAGATTACTTTAAGACTGACATGTTTAAAATGTACTTTGATTCTTCACTCATCTTTTACATTGTGGTTTTTTAATCAAAGTAATCAGTTAGCTGGACTGGCCTACTGTGAGACTGCTTGCCTGTTGCCTGTTCAGGGTTCAGAGGTGGGAGGAGGCTCCGGCAGGGGTGCAGGAACAGCTGGGCTTCTGCCGAGGTGAGCGGGAAGTCCTTTTCTGCCTCAAAGACTGTTGTCCACCAGCGGTCACTGTGACCTTGGCCCCTGGGCAGGAGGCAGAGCTTAAGCCAAGCAAGTGCCATGTGCACGGGAGAAGCAGGGAGGACTGAAACCAGCTGACCACATGGATGGTGGCCTGATGGACGCTGTTTCCCCAGGTATTTCCCATGACGAGCTCTGGGGCTCCGATCAGCGAATACCCGTTCATAAGGACAGGCCTGCTGGGGTTTGTGGGTCCTGGGGGTCTTGTCTTCGTGGTGGGCAAGATGGATGGCCTCATGGTGGTCAGCGGGCGCAGGCACAACGCCGATGACATTGTGGCCACCGCGCTGGCCGTGGAGCCCATGAAGTTTGTCTACAGAGGAAGGTCAGTGGCGTTCTTCTGCTAATTAAGCATGTATATCCTGTCGGCCACACTTTTCATGTGGTTTTGGAGGGTTTAAAAGTTACACAGATTCCATACATTTATTGTGTCTCTTCCATATAATTGAAGCACCTGGACTCAGTGATCTCTGAGATTTAATCTATCTCTGAATATCCAAGGTTTTATAGAAATTCCCTGAGCCCCATAAGCATATTTCCATTTAACTTCTCCTCTAAGTATAATAGAAATATGCTTTTGGAAACTTATTTCTGATAAATAACAGCACAAATTAAAGATCCAGATATTCATTGTGGAGTGGGTTGGAAAGACCCAAGGACGACGTTGAGTCATAGACTTACCTGAGAGCACAGACGCTCATCACCTGCAGACTTACCTGAGAGCACAGACGCTCGTCACCCACAGACTCACGTGAGAGTGCGGACGCCCGTCACTTCCCCGCTCTCCCACACCAGTTTTCTTCTTCCCTGCCTTGCCAGGTGCACAGGGGAGGCTCTGTGATGAAACAAGTTGCCCTGGTTCTGGAGTTTTCCCCAATCTGGAGAGTCATAAAGTATTTTAGAGCCTTATTTCAGTTTGGAAGCTGATGGGAGTGGGAAGTAGACTTGCTGCCTTTTAATTATCTTTAAAGCTACAATCTCTTTGTAAAAAAAGAGTTTACTAGAGGTGACTGTGCTATGCAGACTGTGAAAGGCACATACACTTAGCAGAAAATCACTAGTTTCAAAACAGGAAATTTCTACTGATTTGGAGACCATTAACTCCACAGGTGCAAATTCGAGATGTGAAGGGTGTGGCTGTCTAAATTTCAGCAGGTCTGATCATCGCACGCTCACTCTCCATACTGAGAGGTGTAAACTTGTCAGCAGGGCCCATGGGTGCTGTGCGCGGCCTCATGGGGATCAGGGTGACTTTGGCTCCGCGGCATCCCTGGTTGCCTCCCACAGCTCTTCCTGTAATGATGAGTGGGGAAATTCGGAAGCACAGCTGCCGTTTTGGAGTTATAGTTGGTGCTGTGGCCTCCTGAGATGTGTCACTCACTGGTAATGGCTATGGAACCCCTGATTGCAGAGGGAAGGCTGAGTGGGCATCCCTGGTGCATGCTTACCATGCTCCTGTGTCCCCGCAGGATAGCCGTGTTCTCCGTGACTGTGCTGCATGACGAGAGGATCGTGATAGTGGCTGAGCAGAGGCCCGACTCCACAGAGGAGGACAGCTTCCAGTGGATGAGCCGCGTGCTGCAGGTCACCCTCCACGCTGGTCCTCTCTTGTCTTGTTTCTGGCCTCCCTACTTCATTCAGATCATGACCTGACCAGCTGTGGCCTTGCCCATGGGGTGGTCCTTTTCCCTTCCATTTGTTTGATCAGGAGTTACATCAAGTGTCCAGAAACTAGCTGAGCAGATCGAGGGTGTAGGGACCAGGAGTTTGCACAGCGGGTTCCTACCGGTCACCTTGGGGAGGTCAAAGTAAGCCTTCTGTTTGATCTTGAGAACATGCTATCTTGTCTCCAAAGTTCCTTTTTGACTGTATGTGGTCTTCCCCAAGCCCTGGGTAAAATTATTTAGTTTTGGTGAGTTTAGTAAGAAAACCCTTTCTCTTTCCTTGGCGTTTTTACACAGGGAGCAGTGCTTACACTGCACAGACTTCTATGTATTGTGGATCATATTTTGCATAATATAAATATATACTGACTGTTTCTGTTTATGCTTCCGATTATATGATTTCTTCTTTCCTAACTTTCTAGGCAATTGACAGTATACATCAGGTTGGAGTTTATTGCCTGGCCTTGGTACCAGCAAACACCCTCCCCAAAACCCCGCTTGGTGGCATCCATTTGTCAGAAACAAAACAGCTTTTTCTGGAGGGCTCTCTGCACCCCTGCAACGTCCTAATGTGTCCCCACACCTGCGTCACAAACCTGCCTAAGCCTCGACAGAAGCAGCCAGGTACGTGCAGTGCAAGGGCGGCTTTGTAAGGTGCGGGAGTTCTGCGGGAGTTCACCCAGAGCTGCCTGCCAGAAGCTCATGCTTGCGGGAAAGAAGTGGTTACCCCAAGAATAGAACAGGGACAGCACTTGGATTCTGGTCTCCTGGCTGTAAATGCCGTGCTTTTGTCCTCTCTAGAATCGGGTGTTTTGTGCGGTCATCAGCATGGAACTTACTGGCCGTGGTGCTGTCCTTTCTAAGCATATCGGGTTCACATTTAGTGTTGCTCTTTCATTTCTGGCCGACTTATTTTTAATTTTCTTCTTATGTTGGAGATTCCCTTACATATTCTTCCTCCATTTCTTTTTTGTTCACACCGTTGTTCTCGTGGTCTCTGGTTCTTACAATTGTGACAGTGAATGTGAAGTTGCAGGTGACAGAGTATCCTTTTCACTAAATTCTGTGGGTGCATGGCCTTCTGTTAGGAGCCACTGAAATCACAGTGTCCTTAGAGGGTGCCCTGGGAGGGCGGGAGGTGCCTCCTCCGTCTGCCATCGCAGGACGTAACAGCCTTGTGAAGGACCAGGTGCAGGTGCTCTCCCTCGGCTGTCTGTTTCTGTAGTGTACTGTAAAGTGATCTGATTCTCTCTCCCCACTGTCTGATTCATTATCAGACGCTCGTGACCCAGTGACCCCAGTGACCTTTGCTCCCAGGTGGGAAGCCTGGCAGTTCAGTAGCTGGTGGAGACAGGGTTCAGACAGGTGTTTATGGTAGGGAGAATCCTGTGCAAATACAAACCTGTAATGACTCCCTAGCTACAGGGCTTGGCTCACGTGAGCCAAATGTCAAGAAGCCCAGCGACTGGGAAAACCCAGACAAGAGAGGGCAGCCAGTAGCCTCACGCTGAGGTCAGGAAAACCCAGGCAGGAGACAGAGCCAGCAGCCTCACACTGAGGTCAGGAAAACCCAGGCAGGAGACAGAGCCAGCAGCCTCATGTGAGATGAGGAAATCCCAGGGAGAGAGAGAGCCAGCAGCCTCCAGCGAGGTCAGGAAATCCCAGGCGGGAGACACAGCCAGCAGCTTCGAGTAAGGTCAGGAGCTGAGCCCCTTGAGTTACCCTTAGACTTGTCTGTCTCTGCCAGGGGCCTGATAGAAAGCCCTTCCACCAAGGGGCAGGAGTTGGGGCCGCACAGAGGACATCCCCTGGGGCCTCCGCTTCTGAACCACACAGAGGGAATTGGGCTGGTTGACTTTTAAGGCCCCTTTGGAATAAACGTTTAAAATGACCCTGACAAGTAAGTGGCAAGGTTGTTGGAAGCCAAAGCAGACACTCCTTGAGGCCATTTTTGGGTGAGGTGTTCTGAGATGCTGGACACCGAGAAGGACTGTGGACAACCAAATTGCCTTTCTTGCTGGATGAATTCATATTTACTCAGTTAACGGCACTGTGTACCCTGAGATGATCTTATTTGAGCACAAAAGTATTAAAAGACCTTGAACTCATCAGCTGAGCTAGCAAAAATATTAGCGTTACAAACCTAGGTGCAATTCCAGTTTTAAACACCCCTGGGAATATTGCTCCAGCTTGGAGGGTGGGGGTCTCTAAGGAATGGCCAGAGCCCCGGCTCCTGGGAAGGGCTGGCCTCGTCCCCCACTTGGGATTCTGTGTGTCTTGCTGCTGTTTTGGAGATAAAACTTCTGCCCTGTGCCCTGAGTGAATTTGCCACACGTTGTATGGTAGGAATTTGATAACACCAGCGTTGTGGCTGCTGACTTGCAGATGGGTGAATCCATAAATGGGAGCAGAAGAGAGAAGAGATGTAAGTGTCAAATGTACATGTTTTGGGATATCTCTCAATTCTATCTTAAAGGGCGAGAGAGTAATATACCCAGGGAGCATTTTGGACACGCCCACCTCTCTTCAACAGGGGAGACCATCACCTGCTGCTAAGAACAGGCTTTGAGAGTGAGGTGCACCTGGAAGGCCTCTGCCTCCCAGGAGCAGTCGGGAAGACTGAGTCCCTGAGTCTGTGTGGGGAGGCGTTCAAGGTCCCAAATTCCGGTCCAGAGGGTGCATGTGGAGATAAGGAAAGACGTGACGGAGGAGCATGAAATGAGGCTCTGCCAAAGCCTGATCCCTCCTCAAAAGCTCGCTTTCTCTACCCCAGTCTGAATTCTTAACAACACTGGGGGAAGCCTTGGAACCCGTTTAGGCCAGTTTCCAAGTTGGCTTCTTAGAAGAGCCATTGCATCTTGCCCAGCATCAGTCACCAAGGATAAGGCTAAGGGCTTCACCAGCCAGGTGCAGTGGCTCACACCTGTGGTCCCAGCAATGCAGGAGGCCGGGGTGGGAGAATAACTGGAGCCCAGGACTTCGAGACCAGCATAGGCAACATAGTGAGACTGTCTCAAAAAAATTTTTGTTAAAGATGCTTCATTCAGAAGATGCTTCTATCTGGTAAAGATAGAAGATGCATGGCAGGTGAATGAGGGTGCTCCCAGGTGTTGGAAATCGTGTGGGAGCCATTGTTCCCACCACAGGACAGCTCACTTCCTTCCAGCATGCAGCACCTGACCAAATTCTTCTGCTAAATGTGAAAAGGCTATTCCTCTTCCATAAGAATTAACAGTCTGTTCACAACTATGACGTGAAAATTCAAAAATGATTTACTGAGTGTAGAAGGCATCCTACTATGAGGCTCCTACAAGTTGCCTAGAACCCAAGCACCAGCAGGCAGAAGCCCAGACATCTGCTCACAGACTGTTCTCTGGATTTTACTCCTGCTGAAGTGCCCTCCCTTCTCCTGCATAGCTGTGATGAGTGGAATTGTTTACGGCACCCGAATTTGAAAAGGATGGCTGTGCGTCTGTGGAGACCTGGTGGCCCTGCTCTCCCTGGGGGCCGGCCAGAGGACATCAGGCCTTGACCGCCTGGTCCTGGTGCCACCATGTCCGTGAAGGGACTCGGCAGCTGTTGTCACAGTGACGGGCCCATCCTAAGTCTTGTTCTCTGCCACCTCCCCATCAACTGCATCTGGACACATGTGTTTTTGACATGGCAGTGAGCAGTGTGCTTAGCCATAGCTCTTCATGTATGGTAACTAATGCAGCCTGTGGCCTGGTTCATAAACCTGGTACTTGACCATCATCAGGAGTTAATAGTAGCCTTCAAACCAAGGATTAGGCACAAACTGATAATGTCATCATTATTTTGCATGCAATTCTTCCGGTATATATTCTTTAACTCCCCCTCCCCCCTACCCCATTCCTATTCTCCCTTCTCTCCCCACCTTGTTGGTCTCTACCAAGGTGGGAGGTCAAAGTCTTAAGGAATTTCTCTCTTGTTTCCTAATGGCTGTGCCTCTGTTTCTTTCCAGAAATCGGCCCCGCCTCTGTGATGGTGGGGAACCTGGTCTCTGGGAAGAGAATTGCCCAGGCTAGTGGCCGAGACCTGGGTCAGATAGAAGACAACGACCAGGCCCGGAAGGTAGGCGCCCGGGTCCCCACGGTGACCATCCCCGACCTTCCTGCTCTGGTGGTCAGACCTCCACTGCCATCTCGCCTTTATTCTACCTGTCCTCTCCTGCAAGAGATCGTATAATTTCATAAGAAAACCATCTTCATTAGGAGATGCAAAGTTTCAGAAAATTTCAGGTTGATGCAGAAATTGGCGAGGGGTGTCCGATTCCGTAGCCCGCAGGACTGAGGCAGATGTCTGGCCGTGCTTGTCCTGCACTGTGTTCCCCAACTACTCATTTCTAATTTCCCACGAGCCCAGATCCAAAGCTCACTCTGCCCCACAGCAGCTCACAGCAAGCCTTCTGTCCTGGGCTCTTTGGACTCTAAGAAGCAGTTCAAAACCCAGGTTTGGGGGCCAGGCCTCCTGACAGTGGCATTAGAAGCCGTGGGAGAACCTTCTGAGGCCCAGCCTTTGCACAGGGTGTTGTGTGTGTCTGCGAGTCCCCATTAGGACTGTTCAGCCTGGAGAATGCTCAGGTTCACCAGACGTCCTGTTTCCCCTAGCCAAAAGGTATCCCCTTCTGTATGGCCCGTTAGGAAATGGGGCAAAATCCACCCTGTGAAACTTGGCCAACTTGGTAACCTCCAGTAATACGTTAATCAGAACCCCTTGATCACTGTGCCACCCCGTTTATGAAAGGGATGAAGCCTTATCTGTGGGCTTTTGCTGTACCCGGATATGAAACAAGGCTGCCCCCTTTACCGTGAACCAGATGGTATGGAACATGTAGTTTGTGTAATTTGCAATGTGGCTTAATGCCATTAGGGTATTGCTGTTCTAGAAACCTAAATTTGTTAGAGCCCACTTTTTAAAACCAGATCTGATTCTGTCGCTGTAGCTACTGAAATACATGTGGCTGGAAGCCCCAGGAGAGGGATTTCTGTGCAGGCAGGTCCTGCCTATGAGGGAGATGGTTCCCATCCTCGGGCAGACTTTCAGAAAACCTCTCAAACCTTGATAGAGCATCAGTCCTTTGCTGTGTGACTCTAAGTCGGGTGCCATGAATCTAGGTCCCTACAGGAACAAAGCTGGACACTTGCTTGTCCTGCCATTGTATGTGTCGGAGATTTTCCCGGCATGTGTGTCCTTGACTCCCTGCAGAGAAGCGCGTGGTTCTGAGACCCAAAGCCATTCAGACAGCTTCTGTAGGTTTAACGTCAGGGTTGCCTCACCTCACACCGCATAGCCTGAACCTTACCCGTGCTCTGTTCCAGTTCCTGTTCCTCTCGGAGGTGTTGCAGTGGAGAGCACAGACCACCCCGGACCACGTCCTCTACACACTGCTCAACTGTCGGGTGAGGCCCGGAGCGGGCGTGCCCTGGCTGCTCGCCTCGAAGGGGCCAGCCCGGTTCCTGGGAGCGCTCCTGCTTCTTTATTTCTGACTCAATCCTTTCACTTCAGTCTTATGTTAATTCTTTTTGTTTTTTGCTATTTTGACTAATGAGACTTTTTTACCTAGGGATTGCTTTTAAACATAACAATTTATGTAGTTATTTACACCTGTTTCTGAATACAGATATTTTAGCACTCTATTTACAATGTTTCTTAATGATATCTACAAGAGAGAAATTGCAAGTCTAAGATATTTGCATTTTTATTTTGATTACTAAACTACTATTTTTTTTTTTTTTTATTTTGAGACAGTCTCTCTCTCTCTCTTGCCCAGGCTGGAGTGCAGTGGCACTCTGTGCTCACTGCAGCCTCCACTTCCCTGGTTTAAGCGATTCTCATGCCTTAGCCTTTGAGTAGCTGGGACTGCAGGTGCCCACCACCATGTCTGGCTAATTTTTATATTCTTAGGGACGGGGTTTCGCCACATTGGCCAGGCTGGTGTTGAACTCCTGGCCTTGAGTGATCCACCTGCCTTGGCCTCCCAAAGTGCTGGGATTACACGCATGAGCCACCACACCCGGCCCTAAACTACTTTTTTTATACATCAGAAGTTATGTTTATTGCAGACTCAAGGATGAAAATCATTTCCACTTTGTAATTAAAGTTTCTGTTTACACTTGATGTGAGAAAACCAAGCTCATCAAATATTGTTCTATTGTAGTACTCAAGAGTAAGGCCTTAAGTAAGCTAATACTATTAACAACAAAAATGCAAAAATCTTAATATGCTTGCAACTTTTTTTTGCCATGGAAACAAAGCTTGAAAAATAGATGAGAAATATAAGTCTTCTTGACAAGTATAGGCTCCTGCAGCTCTTCAAAAAGTCATGGCTGTTGAGAATTACCAAATATTAAAATCTTAGTGCATGAGGCCCCCCTGCCATTTGAAGCAGTGGATTGAAGACAAAAGTGCCAGCAACATCGTGAAATAATTCCCCGACTCTCTGGTTTGAGTTTGTTAGACCATTCTTTGCATGTGATTTAGTTCACAGGAATATCTCCTCCTCCTCCTCCTCCCACCAGAGAGGCGCTTCTCGTCCTGACATTGCCGCGTGTGCTGAGTTGATCCCGGTAGTTAGTCCTTCACTGTGTCTGCTCGAGACCATTTCCTGGGAAGAGCCATTAAAAACAACAAGGCCTGTTTCTGTGATCTCTCTGGCCCTAGTTCGCTGGTGCTGTGATGGAGGCTTTGCCCTGCGCTCACAGATCAGGCATGGGGGCCGGAGGACCCAGAGTTGCTGTGGGTCCCTGTATCTGAAATGCCGCCTTCCACTTTTCGTCTCTTTCTCCATTGGACCCTTCCTCAGCCTGTGACTATGGATGAGGCTCCTTTGCTAACCCAGTCGATGGTCAGGTTCGCCGTCCACGGGCGCTGTCTTGATTTCCTGCCCGTCTCCTCTCCTCTGACTTTGTTCTCTCCAAGTAGTGTTTCTCCTATAAACTACTTGTGACTTGTTCCTCTTTCCCTTTGGTCTTGGCAGTGCTGTAGAGACTTCCCTTGTCACCTCCAAAGTGGTGACGTAAATCTGTGGCGCCAACTCCAGTCTCCTCGGGCACCCCAGATCCTTCAGTGGAAGGTGCTTTCTCCTTCCCTTAATTTCCTCACAGAGGTGGACATCCCTTCGCAAGCCGCAAGCTCCCAGGGGCGGATTCAGCTCTGAGTCTCCTTGAAGCCCTGCCCCGACCTTGCCTGACACGTTGTACCCATGTGTGTGGGTTACATGAGTGTCTGTGTTCAATAATCTAGAGGTATTGATGGGCAGCTCAGGAAGCAGCAGACCCCCATATATGCAAAGATTTGGAAATGATTTAGGTGTGTTCGTAGGCAGCGTGTGCCATCAGGAGGAAAATAGAGCCGTTCCCGCCGTGCCTGATTTAGGGAAGATCCCTCAGATTGTTTGCTGGGTGATGCCCTGGTGCAAGGCTTGGCATCTGGTCTGTCTGGCCCTGTGGACAGACAGCTCCCTGTCCCTGATCCCCTGTGGTGGTCATTTGCATAGGTGGATGCTGGATCTTCTGGGGAAAGGTGTTTCCTAGAAATGATTCAGGTTCTCTGAAAAGGGCTTTATTAGGAACAGCTGCAAATCAGATGGGGGCCAGATGTAGGGATCAAAGCCATGAGTAATTTACTGTTGGACTGTGTGAGGAAGGCATGGCCTGAGGATACCTTTTCCTTGGTGGTGTGACCTGCTGTTTCCAAGGCTCGCTGGACATAGAGACAGGCACCCTTGAGCCATTGCTTTCCTACAAGCATCAGATCAGGCATCTGTGTCCATCTCCCCGTCTGCTGCCTTGTATGTACACCCAGAGATGCTCGGTCCAGACCAAGGCAGCAGCATCATTTCCATGACGTTCATAGTGTGATCCCCACCTAAATCAGCTCCCCTGTTCAGCACTGTCCAATGGAAACATACAGAATCACACATTTTCTAAAAGCGAGATTTTAAAAAGCAAAAAGAAACGGATGAAATTCATTCCAATAAGGAACCACTCAGCATATCCTAAGTGTCCCTGTTCAGCACGTACACTAGTCACTCATCTGGGGTGTGGCCATGCAGCCGCCGCTTCCATCAAGGAGGCACATTTCTGTTGATTATGGATTTGGCCACTTTTTGCTGGCAGTGTAGTCAAGCTCATTTAAAGTGGTGGAGGCCGGGTGCCATGGCTCACACCTACAGTCCTAGCACTTTGGGAGGCTAAGGCAGGTGGGATCACTTGAGGTCAGGAGTTCAAGGCCAGCCTGACCAACATGGCAGAAACCCTTGTTGTCTTTGCCCATCTCTGCCACCTTCTGCTCTTGGGCTCTTCTACTTTAAATCAGTTTCTGTTTTCTTATTTTTTAGGTGTCCTCTCGGGGAAAATAATTAAGGAAAATGTGTGGGATGAGAAGGTTGAATTCAGAGAAATGTAAGCTAACCCTCTCCTACATGGAGGAAACCAACCACAGTCGGTGGGACAGGTCTGAGGACCCCCGGGGCAGTTACCTGGGCAGCCTCCCTGCAGTCCTTGCTCCTCAGCCATCTTCTGGACATTTTGGTAGAGGTCAGGGTCTGGTGCTCACATCTTGATGCTTCCTGAGACGTTCTCTTCCACTCACACCGCGTCCCAGCGCGTGTTTCTGACATGGGCCCTTTGAGCAGGGAGAGTGACGTGCTTTTCCCCAGCGTCGCTGCTCACTCGCCCCCGAAACTGTTTGTCTATGCAGCGTCCTCCTTGTTCCACAGAGTCAGCTCCCCACCAGCCCCTCGGGGCCTCTCTCCCAATGCCTGAGCGCTGAATCACGGTGTCTAGAACCCGGCAGCCTTCCCGGGCTTGGGGTGCTTTCTGTCCCCACACTCACACGTTATTCTTTGTAGCTGTGACTTACACGAGAATTCCTGGGCCCGCTTGTTCTGTCACTTTCTGGCTCTGGAATCTTCCTGGCCCCATTGAGTTCAGTCCAGTTGCCCACTGCTTGAAGGACCATCCTCACCCTGTTAGCAGCTGTGAGACAGAATCCAATCACAAAGAAGTGGTTTTTAAAGGGCTGTAGAAAGCAATCTCTCCACATCTGAGAATGCCGCACATGCACTTAAATTGTAAAGTGTGTCCTCAGGAAAAGCTTGTTTTGGTTAGTTGCATGCTTATAATTTGCAGTTTATTCATATTTTTCTTCTTGGCTTAAATAGTGAGGCCAAGGTGGGAAGATCGCTTGAGGCCAGGAGTTTGAGACCAGCCTGGGCAACACAGGGAGACCGTGTATCTGTGAGAAATTTTTTTTTTTTTTTAAAGAATGAGCCAGGCATGATGTTGGCACCTGTTATCCCAGCTGCTCCAGAGGCTGAGGCAGGAGAATCACTTGAGCCCGGCAGGTCCAGGCTGCGGTGAATGCTGATCATGCCACTGCACTTCAGCCTGGGAGACAGAGACCCTGTCTCAAAAAATAAATAAATAGTGAATCCTACACTCTTAGGATGTTTCTTAGTACGTATCTTGCAGCCCATCTTCCTTAACAACTCTTTTGTAAGGCATTTTCAGCACGAATATGTTTTCTGTTTGTTTCTGCAGTAAAGTCTACGTGAAATTGCGTCTGACAGGTTCTTTTCATTCCTTTGGGTGTTTTTAACTGTTTGTTTTGCTTTTGTTTTTTGCTTTCTGACTTCCTTGATTTTTGATGTGGTCTTTCTAAATGAACAATTTTAATCAGTCTTCATCACCAACCTGTGGGCCCTGCAGGCGCAGTGGTAGTTCTCACTGCCCGTGACAGTAATACAAGTCCCAGAATTACTAGGGTTTTTTTTTTGTTGTTGTTCCACTGTTTTTTAATTCACATAATCATTGTTTAAAATGTTTGTTGCCACCCCAAATATATCTAGATGCTTTTTGGTCTGCACTTCTTACCTAGTTGGAATAAAATGGAGTTGACCTCTAATGGATGTGTGGTTTTGGGGGAAGCCGAAAACTTTCTAAAATTGACTTTCCATGTTGGTTGCACAGGTCTGTGCATGTTCTAAAAACCACTGACGTACGCTTTGTGTCAGTGAGTCGTATGACGCGTGCGCGCGCTCCACGAGCGTCTCGACCGAAGGAATCTCACGCGCTTGTCCCTGTGATCGGCCCGCAGGGTGCGATCGCGAACTCGCTGACCTGCGTGCAGCTGCACAAGCGTGCCGAGAAGATTGCCGTGATGCTGATGGAGCGGGGTCACCTGCAGGCCGGTGACCATGTGGCCTTGGTCTACCCCCCAGGTACGGGCATGGGGGGCTTCCCTGAGAGACGCGGACCACTGCAGTGCACAGAGTTCCCTTACACACCCGCTGGTGCCTGAGAGGGCAGTGTGATGGCCAGGAGTCTGCTGTATCCAGCTGGATGCTGACCGACCCATTGTGTCTGGCTGTGACCACTCATGGGCACCAGCTACATGTGCTACTGTCAGAGGCTTCAATAAATTGATGCCTTCAAACACTTTTTTTTTTTTTTTTTGAGATGGAGCCTTGCTCTGTCACCCAGGCTGGAGTGCAGTGTTGCAATCTTGACTCACTGCAACCTCCACTTTCCGGGTTCAAGCAATTCTCCTGCCTCAGCCTCCCAAGTAGCTGGGATTACAGGCACCTGCCACCACGCCTGGCTAATTTTTGTATTTTTAGTAGAGATGGGGTTTCACCATGTTGGCCAGGCTGGTCTCAAACTCCTGACCTCATAATTCATCCGCCTCGACCTCCCAAAAAGTGCTGGGATTACAGGCGTGAGCCACCGCGCCAGCCCCTTCAAACAGTTTTATATCTAAGTTGTGTTACTAGATACCTCAGGTGGTTCACTTAATAGTACCTAAATCTTAACTAAATTCACGATTACAAAGGTGGGTATTTACTTAGCAAAATCATTTAGAAATTAAACCTCCAGGCTACCTCATCTCAGTCTGAAAGGATGGGAAAATGACAGTGCCTGCCAAAGCTGACAAAACCCACCAGGATGACGGAGCCTGTGAGAAGTTTCGCTGCTCGTTTACCCATTGAACTTGTCTTAGACTGGCATTTATGCCGACAGGGACATTGGCCGCTAAGCAGCGTGATCTGCTTCAGTAGTGATGCTTGGTTTTCTCCTGTGTAGGAATAGACCTGATCGCAGCATTTTATGGCTGCCTGTACGCAGGCTGTGTGCCAATAACCGTTCGCCCCCCGCACCCACAGAACATCGCGACGACGCTGCCTACTGTTAAGATGATTGTGGAGGTAACGTACCTGGGAGCTGGGTCTCCACCTGCCTGGAGCTGAGTGTCGAGTTCACAGCCCACACGCAGACTCTGACATCTCCCAGGGCAGCAGCTGGCTATGGGAGCTGGTGTGTGTCTGGAATCAGTCAGGACAGGAAAGGATCTCTGCCTTCAGGGAGCCTACGGTCTGGATATAGAGGCGAGATGTGAACTTGTGCGTGGAGGCAGAAGCTGGATAGTAGCTCTTACTGCAGAGTCTTGAAGTTGAAGATGCCCGGGAGAAAACAGGTCCCAAGAGAGGGTATCCCCACCATCCCTCAGGCTTCCCCACAAACCAAGCTGAGCAGACCCACCACGAGAAGAGGAAGGGCTTTTTCTAAAGGTCTCTCCTCAGGATTTAGAAGTTTACTGCTCCTGTTTGAAAGTATAGATCTGTTTTCCCTTGTCTACAGCTGGAGAAGTTCCATAGGATTCCACTGTATTTTCCTTGTGGAAGGAGGGACTACAGGGGAAAGCAGTTTGGGGCAGAGAATGCCTTGTGCCGCCCACATCTGAGTCCCTTTCTCCATGGTGTTGGAGGACCCCCACAGTGGCCACTCCTGCTACAAAGTACGCATGATGTGTCTGGGCATACGTGACATTTCCAGTATAACAGAGCTAATGATGTGAGCAGTGAGCTCTCTTCTGTATGTGGCCATGATGCTGTGGATGCTGCTGGGCCGGGAAAGTGCAGGTGCACAGGCTTCAGGACCTGCGCTCTGCCCCATATTCTGGCCCAGCTCTTCCGTCACCAGACTCCTAGCGCTCTTCTACCTCAGCTTACCGGCAGGAGCCAGCAGGAGCCAGCAGGAGCCAGCAGGGCTCGGGAGCCTAATCTGCCATTAAAGCTACGTAGTTTTAGTGTGCTTAGCGAGCAGGAGATGTGTGTAGTGAGCACGCTTTCATCTGGCTCCATTCTCATTCACTGATGCCAGGTGAGTCGCTCTGCCTGTCTGATGACAACACAGCTCATCTGTAAGCTGCTACGGTCCAGGGAGGCGGCAGCAGCTGTGGACGTCAGGACGTGGCCCCTCATCCTGGACACAGGTCAGTGCTTTGGCTGGAGACGGTGGTTTGCTCATGGGCCTTGCTCAGGCCAGGTCTGTTGATAGCCCTGTTCTTCTCCAGATGATTTGCCAAAGAAGCGGCCTGCCCAGATCTGCAAACCTTGCAACCCAGACACCCTTGCGTATCTCGACTTCAGCGTGTCCACAACTGGGATGCTAGCTGGCGTAAAGGTGAGCAGGGCGGCTGCAGGAGGTGGCCACGGGAGGCCACTTCAGAGTGTGCGACTGTCAGCACCTCTCGTGAATCAGACTCTGAGATGTGGAAAGAGCCGTATGTACGTGTTTCATTCACAGCACGACACGTGTGATCATTTCCGTCCTTAACCAGGCTGACTGATTCTGTCCAAATGCCCCAAAGGTGTTTTTATGTGAACACGGTCTCCGTAGCTGACAGTAGAACACTGCACGTGTTTTCCTTTCTTGCTGGTTCTCAAATCTGAGTGCTCTATGATAAATCTCTGCACACTACACTTTGTTGCTGTTTAACCTGGGCTCTATTAGAAGTCGTCAGTGGCCAGGCACAGTGACTGATGCCTGTAATTCCAGCACTTTGGGAAGCCAAGGCGGGTGGATTATCTGAGGATAGGAGTTCGAGACCAGCCTGACTAACATGGTGAAACCCTCTCTCTACTAAAAATACAAAAATTAACCAGGCATAGTGGCAGGCGCCTGTAGTCCCAACCACTTGGGAAGCTGAGGCAGGAGGATTGCTTGAACCCGGGAGGCAGAGATTGCAGTGAGCCAAGATCACGCCATTGCACTCCAGCCTGGGTGATGACCCCCTCAGCTCAGGCGACACCCTCGTCGAGCTGCTGTGCAAACCCCACCCATCGGGGACTCCGCAGCCCTTTGCACCCTCTGCCTCCGTCTGTGGGTCTGACGGGTGAGCTGGCTTTGTCTGCTTCACAGCAGCCCTCACTCTCCATCCACCTCTTAATAGAACTGAAGTGAAATGCCAAATTAGCTACAATGTGAAATAAAATAATTTTTCAAAAGCTTTTGAAAAGAAATGTTTTCAGATCAAGTTGACATAGTTCCTATAGATGAAGTTAGCAGTGACCCTCCTACTGTCACAGCCAGAAGAGAAGCTCATGCCTCCAATCGTGCCATTCTCATGGCCCACTTACAATCTCAGCGTCTCATGTAGAGTAGATCATCAGAACTTTCTTGGCTGATTTTCTTTTTCTTTTTTTTTTTTTTTTTTTGAGACAGAGTCTCGCTCTGTCACCAGGCGCCAGACTGGAGTGCAGTGGCACGATCTCGGCTCACTGCAACCTCTGCCTCCCAGGTTCAAGCAATTATCTTGCCTCAGCCTCCCGGGTCGCTGGGACTACAGGCGCATACCACCACGCCCAGCTAATTTTTTTGTACTTTTAGTAGAGATGGCGTTTCACCATGTTGGCCAGGATAGTCTTGATCTCTTGACCTCATGATCCGCCCGGCCTGCTGCTTTTCTTTAACCAGTGTCCATTCTTGTTTGTCTGCTGAAGTCACGCAAAGGCCCCAGTGGGTCTCAGACCCACAGCCAGGGTGATAGGAGCACCCTTCTCTTACATCATACAAGGTTGTCCACGTGCTCATGTCTGAATTCCCACTGGACCCGGAGGGCAGGGCTGTGTCTCAGTCTTCTGTTCATCTCCAGCACCTAACACCATACCTGTTATATAATAAGCTCTCAGCACTTTAGTATTTGCTGTGCTGAAGAGCTCAATTCTTCACCTCGAAATGGTGCTTTGCACAGAGCAGCAGTTCAGGACAGGCTTGCTCTAGTTGCTGATCTGAGTGGGTGGGTATTTTTGGGAGGCAGGGTTTTACTAGCTGCTAATCCAGGGAGGCAGGAGTCTGGATGAGTATTTGATAAATTCAGTCTCATTTCTCCATTAAACAAATATTTACCTTAAAGGCAAACTAAAAAGAATTACTTACATTTTACATTCTATAAAAAGTCTACATTCCGCTGTATGAATATAGTAAAGCAGTTATGAAATCCTGTCCCGGGCAGAACTTTCAACAGTGATGCAGCGTTTCACAGTGGGAGGAACCCCAACCCCGATTCTGTCACGTCTTGCTGGAGTGGCGAATGAAAGATGGGAGCCAGGCGTTTGGCTGGATTTCCAGTTACAGCTCTGTGCTGGTCCCTTTACAGTTTAGCTCTGGGCAACATTCAGCGTCAGATAACTTGTGACATGTTTTAAAACCACAGAAATCAGAACCATTTTCTATGTTGCTTTGACTTCCATTTTCCTCTTAGGTCTGTTTGGTGAGAAAGCTTCTGTGAGAAAATTAATCTTAGTAATATATTTTATTGTATTTCAAATTAATCTACGTTACACACGGACTGTAGTGGACTATTACAGGGATTAGGGAAGGGGAAGATGTGGAGAGCTCTCCACTGTCTGGTCAGTGATGGGATGAATGGATTTTGGCCACTATCTCCCTACAGCATGGTGGAGGATGGTAAAGGACTTGGGCTCTAACTCATGTCACAGTCAGCAAAATCTTTCACTTCCGTGAACCTTCACTTCCTGATCATTGAGATGGTGAGCCACCCAGCGGGTGTCACTGGCCACCTGCTGCACAGCAGAGGCCTTGTCCAGCCCTGGCGACACCTGTGCACGAGGCAGTGCCTTGACTGGCGGAGGCGGGAGTGTGCCATGGCGTCTCCTCTACTTGTGGGTCAGTGTGTTGGAGAGAGAGTCACACTAGAGCCCCTTCCTGTATGACTTGCTGTTCAAATGCACTATTTCAACAGGTGGAATTGCTAGGTCCCGGAGGATCGGCCGTTCTGAGTGAGGTTCACTCATTGACAGTGAGAACTCCAGTGAAAATATCGGCCGCTCACATTCCCAGGCACAACATAGCCCCAGCTTGGCTATAGTTGTCCCTGGTCCTAAAAACGGCTTTGGGCATTTGGTGCCAGGTATCATACATTTGTTGTTTTTTGGGTTTTGTTGTTTAATTTTTATTTAAGAGACAGAGTCTCACTCTGTCGTCCAGGCTGGAGTGCAGTGGTAATCATAGCTCACTGCAGCCTGGAACTCCTGGTCTCAAGCCATCATCCCACCTCGGCCTCCCAAAGTTTTGGGATTACAGGTATGAGCCGCTGTGCCGGGCCAGCATACATTTCCTGCAGCCTTAGTGTATTTTAGATGCCCTTGGGTGTCAGGCCCCATGCAGTTAATGCAGCCTTATTGTCTCCTAGGTACCCTTAGGCATGCGGTCCCATGCAGTTAATGCAGCCTTGTTTTCTCACGGGTGTCCTAGGGTGTCAGGCCCCATTCATGTCACACTGTCTGTGTTTTGCAGATGTCTCATGCAGCCACCAGTGCCTTCTGCCGTTCCATTAAGCTGCAGTGTGAACTTTACCCTTCTAGAGAAGTGGCCATCTGCCTGGACCCCTACTGTGGACTGGGATTTGTCCTCTGGTGCCTCTGCAGGTAAGATTCCTCTCCATATCTTTAAATTTAAAAAAAAATCATGCACCTTCTTCTCCAGACCTTACACCCAGCCAGGCAGCCTCAGCACTGGCCCCATACCCCCACCCCTGCTGGAGGAGGCCTGGGGCTGACTCCTGTCCCTGTCTCTCTCCTGGTGGATTTGGCTCTTGGGGACAGAGCAGCACCTGGGGTGACAGTCACTTTCTGCAGCAGTGGAGGAACATTTTGGAGAGTTGTCTGTGTGGACCTTTATTTCTGACCATCAGAGGACTCCCAGGCTTCGGACTTGGCTCTTATGCCTGTAAAGCCTTGTGATCGTGCTTGATCTGGGTTCCCGCTGGGCCAGCAGGCATTGCAGCCTCTCGCCTCCCTCGGCCTTCACCCCAGCTGTTACTGCAGGGCCTAGGCTCGGCAAGCCCAGAGGTGAGTCCACGAGGGCTGAGTGTTCCCCGGGCCATGCGGCACTCTGCCCAGCAGTCAGCTCGAAGCCTGGCTCACAGCAGATGCTCAGCAGATATTTGTGGGATGAATGAAGAACCAGAAAACCAAATAGATGTTTCTTGGCTTTTTTGTCTGATCATACATACGTGATAATTGTAGAAATTTTTAGAAAATACAAAGTAGCCGGGTGCAGTGGCTCAAGCCTGTAATCCCAGCACTTTGGGAGGCCGAGGCGGGTGGATCACGAGGTCGAGAGATCGAGACCATCCTGGTCAACAAGGTGAAACCCCGTCTCTACTAAAAATACAAAAAATTAACTGGGCATGGTGGTGTGTGCCTGTAATCCCAGCTACTCAGGAGGCTGAGGCAGGAGAATTGCTTGAACCCAGGAGGCGGAGGTTGCGGTGAGCCGAGATCGCGCCATTGCACTCCAGCCTGGATAACAAGAGCGAAACTCTGTCTCCAGAAAAAAAAAAAAAAAAAGAAAATACAAAGTAATATAAAGAAGAAAATAAAGCCATCAATAATCATACCACCTGATAAAGGGCATTACTGATAAATATCCACTAGCACCATTTGAGCACATAGCCTTTCAGAGTTCATTTTCTAATTTATTAACATTTTCAAACATACTTAAGTGTAGATTGTGTCCAGCAGTACACACCAGTGACTGTCATCCAGCTTCATGTGTCAGCATTTCAGCAGTTTTGTATTTTCTGCCTGCTCCCCACCTTTTTTTAAATGAGGCATATTAAAGCTAACACAAACATATAACTTCATTGATAAATCTTTTTTACACATACTATTTTATGAATATTCATTAATGTATTTATAAATCTGAGATGCTACAGCATGAAATTGATTATGATTTTCCTAAAATTTATAGTGGATCTTTCTCTTTTCTCTTTTTTTTTTTTTTTGAGACAAAGTCTTACTCTTTCACCCAGGCTGGAGTGCAGTGGCACAATCTCAGCCCACTGCAACCTCTGCCTCCCAGGTTCAAGCAATTCCCATGCCTCAGCCTCCCGAGTAGCTGGGATTACAGGTGCCTGCCACAATGCCCAGCTAATTTTTGTATTTTTAGTAGAGATGGGGTTTCACCATGTTGGCCAGGCTGGTCTTGAACTCCTGACCTCAAGTGGTCCACCCGCCTTGCCCTCATGAGCCACTGTACCCAGTGGGAATTTTTTCTCATGTCTGTAAACAAAACTTTTTAATGTATTCTTAATATTTAATAGTATTAAGTTGGATTAAAATTTAATCTTGTATTTTTGAAAAATACTGATATTCTAATTAGGACAATTCAGCTTTTTGAGAAAGCAGATAAAACTGAATAATGTATATTTAATGATTTTTGCCTCAATCTAAAATGCAATAATATTGTGAGTGATTTTTTTTCCTTGGGAAATCACTCAGAACATACTATTCCAACAACTGGGCCAAAATGGCCTTAGATATACATTCGAAGCTGGAGGGTAGAGGTCTGTTCTGAACAACTGCCCTTGTAGGGTGACCATATTTCATTTGGCAGTGTACAAGTAAAACCAAAGCCAACAGATGGAAGACTCCTGCCTGCAGGCTCACCAAGCCTGGCTCCCCATAAAAATCAGAGAGAAGGTGTTTATGGCAGGGAAAGTAACTTCTCGGTGAGAACCAGCAATTACAATAAACTCTTCAAGAGATTGTCCAGGTTGTGATGAACTTTGACAAGCATCTTTCATGAAAAATATTAATAACTCAGAAGTCACAAGATCCCAATACTTGGTTGATTGCCCTTGCAACAGTACAAATAAATATAGCCATAAATCTTTCCATTAAAAAAAAAAATCCTCTATAGAAACAGATCCCAATGGACTTGCTTAAAAAAAAAAAAAAAAAAAGCACTTGGCTCCTAGATGCACAATGACTAATACAGAAGTTAAAGTAATAATGACTTCCCTTTCCCATGTAGTTCAGCAGGTCTGGAACGAGAACTGGGCAGAAGAGGCCCTGGGGGTGTGAAATTTGAGGAGGCCTTGTCCTCCGGGTGTGCCTCTAAGAGCTTAGCAGGGTAGGGAGGGCATCTTGGTGGGGAGCAGCCACACAGCGTGCCCAAGCTTAAGTCAGAGGAGGGGAGTCCACAGAAGGGTTTTCCCAGCCTGGGCTGTGGGAGCCAGGCAGGATGCAGTGTGAGAGTCAGAGCGTGTTCCGGGAATGGGCAGCCACAGAGGGAGATGGGCTGCATGTCGGACACTGGAAGTCAGTGCAGTCAGGCATCGTTGGGTGATGGGGATGCGTTCCACTCAGGTGATGCCAGTGTTGTGCAGACACTGAGTGTGCTTACACAGACCTGGCTGGAACAGCCTGACATACCCAGGCTGCAGTCGTGTGCAGTGTGCCAGTGCACTGAATGCTGTGGGCCATTGTAATGCAGCGGTAAGTATCTATGTCTCTAGACGTATTCAAGCACAAAAAAGGTACAGTATAAGTAAGGTCCAGAAGGTTAAACCCACTGGGCGGGTCAGTGAGTAAGTGACGCCTGGAAGTGAGGGCCCAGGACAACTGCACACTACTATAGCCTCTGTAAACACCAGACGCTTTGGCAACACTAAGTCCATTAAAAATGCCTATAGTTCTTCAATGATAAATTAGTCTCAGCTTACTGTAACTTTTTAACTTTATAAACATTTTAATTTTTAAACTTTTTGACTCATCTATAAAAAACACTTAGCTTAAAACACACATTATACAACTATACAAAAATAATTTTTATGTCTTTATAAATTCCTATCAAATTTTAAATAACATTTTAAACTTTTCGTTGAAAGCTAATACACATGCATGCACATATCAGCCTAGGCCTCCACAACACACATACACACACACATGCATGCGTACACACACACACACACACCAGCCTAGGCCTCCACAACACACACACACACACACACACACACACACACACGCCAGCCTAGGCCTCCACAACACACTGCGTGCACATATGCATGCACACACACACAGCTGCTTAGGCCTCCACAACACACACAGCTGCCTGACACAGCTGCATAAGCCTCCACAACACACACACAAAACTGCCTAGGCCTCCACAACACACACACACACACACACACACACACACACACACACACATACACACAGCTGCTTAGGCCTCCGTAGGGCCAGAGTGTTCAGTATCACTGCCTTCTCCTCTACGTCTTGTCCCACTGGAGCATCTTCAGGTCAGTATGTGCATGGAGCTGTCACTTCCAAGGATAACAATACCTTCTTCTGGAATACCCTCCCGAAGGACCTGCCAGGGGTGTTCTACAATTAACTTTCTTTTTATAAGTAGTAGTATACTGTAAAATAATAAAAAGTACACTAATTCATAAACCAGTAACACAGTTGTTTATCATCATGGTTAAGTATTAGGTTGTGTTCATAACTGTATGTGCTTATCAGAAAGCTAATCTATGCCCAAGTAGGCGTCATTCCCAAGATGCAAGGTTGTATCATATACATGTCAGTAAATGTGGTTCGTCACATAAACAGAACTGAAGATGTGATTGTATGTCCTGTGCTTTTATATGACTGGTGGTACAGGTTTGTTTAGACCAGTATCACCACAAATGTGAGTAATGTGGTATGCTGCAATGTCTATAGTTGGTAGAAATTTTTCAGCTTCATAATAGTCTCATGAGACCACCATCGTACATGGACCCATCCTTCACCAAAGCATTGTTATCCTGGGACCACAGGAGTGCTAATTTTTATACTTTTATGGAGATAGGATCTTGCCATGTTGCACAGGCTGGTCTTGAACTCCTGGGTTCTAGCCACTCTCCCACCTTAGCCTCCCAAAGTGTAGTAATAACAGGCATAAACCACCACACCCAGCCTCCAAAACCAATTTTTAAAAATTAGCCAGGTGTAGTGGTGTGTGCCTGTGGTCCCAACTACTTGGGAGGCTGCGGTGGAGAATCACTTGAGCCTGGGAGGTTGAGGTTGCAGTGAGCTGAGATCATACCACGGCACTCTAGCCTGGGTGACAGAGCAAGACCCTGTCTCAAGAAATAAAGATTGAAACAGATTGTAACACTTTGGGTAAAATAGGAAATTTTCCAACTATTCAGATACAAATAGATGAACAAATTCAAAGCTTGATGAGAAGTGAGGACTTATATAGTAGCTATCCACAAAATAGATAGAGGAAAGAGGCTTCACAGTGCAAAAGCCTGAACCAGGTGGTCCAAGCAACCTCAGTGATGGTGAAGCCTGCAGCACCTGGTGAGATGAGGAAAGCAGTGTTGCTCCCACAGTATTCCTGCTAAAGATGCCTGCCCTGAATCTCCCCATGTGTAAACATCGGCCACGTAAGCTAGGGGACTGTGCACCTGCCTAGAATTACTTCACAAAGCCTGCTGTTGTGAGGGTCATGAAAGATCCAGAAACTCGCTCTGGGCAGAGGGAGGCTGAGAGCTAACCACTTGCTTGCAGTGCGCCTGTGCAAACAGGACCCTTTTGCTACAGAGTGTGTAATCGGGGACAGCTGGAGAAACTGGAATAGGGTCTGAGCTGGG